AGACAAAAGTGATTTTTTTTTATTATATGTTTTTATAGGTTCGAATTTATATCAAACTTGGTATAAGTTAAATCAATGAATAAAAAGAAAAGTATTTTGATGACAGCTGCAATCTAGCAAAAGGTTCAAATTTTCATAAAATCATTAAATCTTTTTATTATTGAAACTTTTAAACAAGAACAAAATTATAGAGCACAGTATAATGAATCTCCATGTGTCCATTCCCAGCTTCAACCGTTATTAACAAACGGTCATCCATACCCCTTCTCACTGCCCCAAGGCCTCGCCTTCCACACAGGATTATTTTAAAGAGTCCTCCGGGATACCATATTTTATCTTTAAATATCTTAGCATGTGTACTTGAAAGATAAGATGAACACAATGCTATTATCATATCTTGAAATCACTAATAATTCCTTAACTATGTCCCCTTCCCCACATTCCTATGTTGAAGTGCTAACCCCCAATACCTCAGAATGTGAGTGTATTTGGCAATAGGGCCTTTACAGAGATAATTAAGTTTGAATGAGGCCATTCGTGTAGGCCCTAATCCAATATGGCCAGTAAACCTCTAAGAAGAAATTTGGATTGCTTGAGCCTAGGAGTTTGAGGTTGCAATGAGCTGTGATGACACCACTATAGTCTGGGGGGGGCAACAGAGCGAGACTCTGTCTATATATAAATAAATAAATGAATGAATGGATACATAAAATAAAAAAATAGAGGACAACACAAAAATTAGGTATTGTCAACCAATGTTATCAAGTGTGAGCTCTGCCACTTGGTACATAACCTTAGGCAAGTCATTTAATTTAATCTAACTTCGATTTTCCTTTTCTATTATGAGAATCAAATAAGTAATGTATGTTTTTCAACAAAAACCTATTACTTTAATATGATGCACTAAGACGAAGAGAATGCCATTTTTGTGGCATTCTTGACAAAAATGTATTACCTCACTCCAATCATAAGAAAACATCACACAACTAAAATTGAGGGACATTCTACAGAATACCTAACCAGTACTCTTTAAAAGTGTCCAAGTTATCAGAGACAAGGAAAGACATGAACTGTTACAGACTGGCAGAGACTAAGGAGAAATAAGTCCTAAATGAAATGTGAGATTCTGGATAGGACCCGGAATAGGAAAAGAACACTGGTACGAAACTGGTGAAAGACAAATAAGGTCTAGGTTTAGGTAATAATATTGTGACCAGCGTTGAGTTCCTGTTCTTAATAAAAGTACAATGGTTATGTAAGATGTTAACAGTAGGGGATACAGGATGAGGAATATAAAGGAATTATTTGTACGACTTTTGTAACTTTTTTATAAGTCCAAAAATAACAACTCAAAATTAAAAGTTTTTAAAAAACTATCACAGGGCTTAGCATATAGCAAGCACTCAATAACTGAGCTATTATTTATTTTGATTATCATGATTACATTTACTACTAAAGGTTACTGCAATTTTATTCAGTTCCAAATCAACCTTGTGTTCTTTCCTCCAGCTACAGCTAGCCTCTAGCATGAGTCCCTAGAACAATGTTCCTGGTCTAGTTTTTCCAAATGACAGAAAACAGAAACTCACAATTCTTCATTCCCTTTCCAGTCTCTATTTTTATGTGTCTTTGGTCATCATCTATAAGAATGTGTATACCACCCACAAGTACAACCGCACCCAGAGCTTTTTTGGTGCTATGACAAAAATGTTGGCCCAATTTCTATTCTTTTGGTCCTAAATCTGAGCCACAAAGTTATCGTCTTTTTGTTTATTATCTTTTGTCATCTTTTCAATATGATGGGTGAAAATGGTATTTGTTTAATAAACAAAATGTCTCCCTTGGTCATAGTTACTGGATATTTAATAACTTTTTCATTTCTTAATAAGATTGTTCAAATTCTTTGCCCATTTAAGGTTGTTATTGATTGGTAAGAGCTCTCTATAAATCAAAAATATTAATCCTTTATCTACCATAGAAATTGTAAATAGTTTTAGCCATTTGTCATCTATTTATTTCAGTTATATTGTTTTTTGGCATAAACAAGTTTTCAATATTTGTTACCAAAGTCAATCCACCTTTTGTACTTTTCTAATTTTTGTACTTTTCCTTTTGTACTTTTGTACTTTTCTAATTTTTATGCATAGAAAATCCGTTGTTACTTTAAAATCAAATATTCAACCTTTTACAGTTTTTTTTAATGGTTTCCTTTGTTATATTACATTTTTTAATCCATTTGGATTTACTTTGATATTTTGGAGCATGATTAAGGTAAAAATCTAACTTTCTTTTCTCTCCCCCACCAAATGGATATCAGGTCATTCTTTCTTTCCCCTCTGATTTAAAATGTCACCGTATCGCATACTAACTTCTTAACTAGACCAGAACCTACATCTAGACTTAATATTCAGTTCTAAGGTCCTGTGCTATATACTACGGTAAAATTGAGACAAAGCAGCCACAGTATTTGCCAAGATGAAATCTACAGATACACCTCATTATGCTTTTTTTGGGGTAAACTCTCTTTTATAAATAAAGATGAAAATACTTGCTTCCAAATAATTAATTTTTTCAAATATCCCCAATATCTCTGGCCAAAATACATGAATATAAATGCATAAAAATAGAAAGCATAATTTCTAAAACTGGTGAAAATATCGTTACCACTACCCTCACATTTATGTAGTCTACTCTTCAAGTTTAAAATATCTTTCTAGTTCTGACTGAACCAGAAAAGAAACCTATGAATCTCAGGACCTTATTTGGGTCGTGGCCTACTATTTTGCTTCCTGTGGTAGTACTAAGAACATTCCTGTCTCTTACCTTGCAAATAACTTCTCATTTTGGTCTCAGGAATACAGAGGTAGGCACATAAAAAAAGTATTTGGTGAGCTAGGCATAGGGCTGCTCACCTACATATAGTCCCAGCTACTCTGTAGGCTCGTGGAGTGGGGGTGGGAGGAGATTGCTTGAGCCCAAGAGTTTGAGCCTATCCTGGGCAATACAATGAGACTCCCAAACAAGTAGTCAGTGAAGTTGATGACTTGCGTAGATTTGGTTCCCGTTACATGCCTATTTTGTCACATTCATCTCAATATATTGAGGAAAGAAGAAATGGGAGATGACAAAGCAGTACAAAACACAGCAGATGAGACAGTAACGTAATTTCCTTTTCTAGGTGGTGCTCTAGCTTCCGCAGGTAATGAAGTTACTCAAAACCATGGGAAGGACTTTTTATGCCCCAAACCTCAGGACTAGGACATTGCCTAAAACTGTGCTGCAGCAAGGTCCCCCGTAGACGCACGCACCTGTAAGGGTGATGTCATCATCATCGTCATCTATGATTTCTTCTTCAGCAACATCCAGTGAGCTCTCAGTAATCATGTCATTGGGCTCTTCCACACAGGCTAGATGAGTATAACTATTGAGAATATCAGCACCAGGAACATGTTCCACAATAACCGCAGGAAAAATAGCTGGATCACCAAGCTGAGAGGTGTTGGGAAGAGGTGAGGGAAAACAAAGAATTAAAGTTTTGCTTTTGTTAAATACGGCTGAAAAATATTTTATACTAAATACCGACTTAGTTTTTACATCATCAGCTACTTGTATCTTGACGATCCTTCTAGGCTACAGAGAACATGTATCTATTAAGCCAAATACGCCAGGCATGGTGGCTCACACCTGTAAATCCTGGCACTTTGGGAGGCCGAGGTAGGAGGACTGCTTGAGGCCAGGAGTTCGAGACCAGCCTGGGCAACAGAGTGAGACCTCATTTCTACAAAAAATTGAAAAATTAGCCAGGCATAGTGGCACATGCCTGTAATCCCAGCTACTCAGGAGACTGAGGCAGGAGGATCACTTGAGCCCAGGAGGCTGAGCCTGTAGTGAGCTATGATAATGTCACTGCTCTCTAGCCTAGGCAACAGAGCGAGAGATCCTGCCTCGAAAAAAAATAAGGACAAAATAAACTTTCATTATTAATCATCTTGGGTCTTAACAACCAAGTTTTCATTGGGTAATCCTATAAAAGTACATTTTTTAAAATGACATTAAATAAAAATCTAATAAGATAACATTAATGAATAAGCATGAACCAAGAAGTGGCATATAAATAAAATATACAATTAAATAAAATCTTATTAAAAGTTTCTTTTGCAGAAAAAGCATTTGTGAGCTTAATAAATATTACACTGTCACTTGGCACACAGGCCTAGTTTTAATAATGCCCTTTGACTCAAATGAGAAAATTTACTTTCGTTTTCTATTATTGTCCTCTTCAAGCATGCCTATTTTAAGGGTGTAAGTTACTGCTACTAATATCCAGTTATAAAGTCACGGAATTTTAGAATTGGAAGGGTCCCTAAAATTTAATGTAGGCTAGCCATCTCATTTTATAGCTAAAGAAACTGACCCAGAGAGGGTTTTTAACAACTTACTCAATTATCAGTTAAGTAGCAGCAAACCTCATTAAGCTACTACCTCCTTTAACTTTTTACTTTCAAATAATTTCAGACTTACAAAAGCTGTAAAAATAGCACAAAAAATTTCCATTCATCATCCATTACATTCACTCATATTCTCCCAATTCTAACATTTAATCACATCTATTTATCACTCTTCCTATATTATTTTTTTCTGATTTGTTTGAAAATGGTATAATTGCTTCTTAAACCCTAAATATTTTAGTGTTTATTTCCTAAATATATGAATATTATATAAGACAGCACAATTATTAAAATCAGGAAAGTAACACTGATATAGTACTATTATCCACCCTACAGATCTTATTCAAATTTCTAACTCTCCCAGTAACATCATTTATAAAAAATGAAAAAAAAATTTTTTTGGTTCGAGATCCAATGTAGGATCACAGGTTTCATTTAGTAAATATCATGTTTCTTATTGACAACTCCTTTGACCTGG